TGTGTGTGTTAGTGTTGAGTGGGGGAAGTGTTGCTTGCTCTCTCAACCGAGAGAGCTCATTATTCATCTTGAACTCTCAGCGGGGAAAGAAAGACATGACATCAGTGGCAGTCATGTCAACCTTAATGCCATCTGGTTACCACTATTTCCAGGAAGCGTGTTAAAGAGTCATGGTTCCCTTAGACTTACTGGTTATTTCGGAGTTACTTTGCACCATCTGCTAAGCCTTTTATTTTTTATGGAGTAGTTTTAGTGAGCAGGTTTGGGATCAGTCCCTCCAGGATTTTCCAGGTGTAGATTATGATGTATCTTTCCTCCCTGAGATGCTTGAGCTGCACTGCTTGGAACGCAGGTGAGAGAGACACCTGGAGGATGGGTAGTCGCTGGCACTATGGTGGCACAGGGAAAAGATCCAGTTCTCGCACCACAAACGATATAAGTAAAAATAACTCTTCCTAATTAAGCTTAGACACTGCGCTGCCAGACGATTCGCCTCCGTCATTATTAGTTCACTTATTTCTAGTTAAAAAGTCTTCTAGTAGTGTATGTAACCTAATTTAACGTTACCTAATCTAGCAAAACATGAAATAAAAATAATGGTGTTTGTCAAATCACAGGAAAACGTTAAAGAAGTGACGGCGGGATTTTCACAAGAAAATTGACGACGTTAAATGAGGATATTGTCGAATGCCATCGTTACGGAAGACCCATCTGTCTTATCACTCATATCTCGCGGTGGCGGTGACCTCCAGAAGTGACTACAAGTACAATAATAAGAGGTACAGTAATAAGAGGTACGGTAACAAAAAGTACAATAACAATACACAAATGACTTTGTAAATGGTCCAAGTCGGACCGAAACGTCGTCGTAAGCTTCTCTCTTTTATGTGCGGGTTATTTGTGTATCGTTCCAGTCACGGTATTGTGCCTTTTGTTGTTATTTAAGTACAGTAACAACAGGAACAGTAACAACAACAGATATTACTAATGTGAGACGGAGAGAGAGGGTGGAGACCGCCTCCCACGCACTGGCCATGAAAACAACAAGTTTTAAGATTTCGAGTAAAATCGCGCAGGATACTAACAAAAGCCACTAGATGGATTTGTCATACTCGCGACTTGATGATGGTTGGCAGTGGACTGAAACCCCCTTCCCCTCCCCCCGTATTACTTCCCAGTGTGAATCACTTGGTAGTGGCCGGGCCACCACTTGGAAAAGGCCCGGGCCGGGAGAATACGGCAAATCTTTAACCCTCCCCCCGTATTACTTCCCAGTGTGAATCACTTGGTAGTCAGATAATTAAAGGAACTCTTCCGATGTCTTCTCCAACACACGTACTTTACCGATATACCTTTGACGGGTTTGTGAAAGTTTTTTCAACTCCCGCAGCCCGGCGCTGGGCCAGGCTTGTCTCCTGCCTGCCTCGGTCAACATGTTAGGGCATTAAAATGTAATTAGGAACCAAACAGCGTGCTGCCGACAATACTGGAGAAAGGCGACACACGTAGCAGAAAAAAAATAATTTATTGAAACAACTTTTCGGTCTACACAGAGCGAAACATTGACCCAATGAGTGCTTGTTGTGGAACACGAGTCGACACGTTCTTAAATGATTAAGAAGAGGATTATAAAGGGGAAAGAAAAACCAGGGACAGCACGCGACAAATGCAAACTTGTTTACTGTGAAGGTAGATGAGGTTACACGGGAGAGATCCAGATACAACCTACACACCCTGTCTAGTCTTCCCCTCCACATAAAATCCAACCAAGGAAAGAGTGTAACGAACTGAACACCGAGTAAATAACACTGCCAGAGAGAAGAAGAAAAAGCAGACGATGATGAGGAGGAGGACACGTCAAGATACTGAAGGATGTATCACAACACGCGCTAGAAGCCGCCCACGACCAGTAATACATTCAACACTACCCAACACAGCGTGGGGAAAAAATGGAGTCAAGAACGAAACTCCAAAGACATAAATCTTGCTGGAGTGTCAGCCTTCCGCAAAGAGCTTTAACATCCTCTCCCTCTCTCCATTTTGCAACCCCTCCCTCCTACTACAACCCCTCCACTCCCTCCTACAACCCACCTCTCCTTCCTACAATCCCATTCTCTCCTACAAACCCTCCCTTCTCCTACAACCCCTCCCTACACCTGCAACCCCTGCCCTCCTTCCTACAACCCCTTCGTCAGGAACGAGGAAACATACGGGTAAAGATCTTTATACCCCAGGTGCTCCTGGGGTATAAAGATGTTGCAGGTGGTATCCAGAGGGAAAATGTGAAAAAACTCCAGTACCTGCTGGAAGTTACATCCCGAATAAGATAACTCCAGTACCTGCTGGAAGCCACATCCCGTGTAAGATAACTCTAGTACCTGCTGGAATTTACATCCCTTGTAACATAACTCCAGTACCTGCTGGAAGTTACATCCCATATAAGATAACTCAGTACCTACTGGAAGTTACATCCCGTGTAAGATAACTCCAGTAACTGCTGGAAGTTACACTCCACATAAGATAATTCCAGTACCTACTGGAAGTTACATCCCGTGTAAGATAACTCCAATACATGCTGGAAGTTACATCCCATATAAGATAACTCCAGTACCTGCTGGAAGTTACATCCTGTGTAATATAACTCCAGTACCTGCTGGAAGTTACATCCCGTGTAAGATAACTCCAGTACCTGCTGGAAGTTACATCCTGTGTAATATAACTCCAGTACCTGTTGAAAGTTACATCCCGTGTAAGATAACTCCAGTACCTGCTGGAAGTTACATCCCGTGTAAGACAACTCCAGTACGTGCTGGAAGTATTCAGGTGTAGGGTAGAACGCCTTGCAATGCAGTGCGGCCAGTGATGTTATTCACAAAGAGAGTCTTGCATCTGCATCAAGGCTCTTGATGCGCACCGCTGTGGTAAGTCTGTCTATTTCTCTAACAATACTAATGTTCTGCATGCTACTGCCCGAAATGCTCTGCATACTAAAGTGCTTTCTGCATACTAAAGTGCTTTCTGCATGTACACCTAAATGTCACCTATCTTTGTACAAACTTTTTATCATGCTGAAATAAGGAATCTTTAATCTTCATTGTTCAGCATTATTTTTACTATAAATTTGTAGAGAAAGCTTTTAACGATATTAGAGGGAGTGGGAGGACCTAAACTTCGTCTATAGTTCTCTATAAATTTTGGGTAAGTGTGAGTTGTTCCAGCCACGACACTGACTTTATTCCTGGCAGTATTATACTTCTTGTGAGGTTTAAACGGGGCAGTAATAAAGCAACTGCAAGTGACACGAGGTAAACTGACTTGCCAGCTAGGGATGGAGGCAGCTATGGGCAACACATAGATAACCCACACATAGGAGAGAGGAGTTTACGACGACGTTTCGTTCCGACTTGGACCATTTTTAAATGGTCCAAGTCGGATCGAAACGTTGTCATAAGCTCCTCTCTTCTATGTACGGGTTATTTGTGTATCGTTCCAGTCACGATATTGTGCCTTTTTTTGTTAGCTATGGGCAAGCTGGTATACACAAGAGACCGCTCTATGCAGGACCCAGCTAGACACACACACACACACACACACCGCACACACACACACACACACACACACACACACACACACACACACACACACACACACACACACACACACACACACACACAATGTTTATTTTATGTAAGAATTATACGCAGGTAACCTCTGGTATCTGAGGTGAAGAAAATGAGTTACAAGAAAAGAAATGAAGGTCTTCCCCTGGAGAAGCGAAGTAAAAGAGGGGATATAATCACGACATACAATATACCCTTAGAAAATATAAACAACAGAGCCAGTTCTCTTGCACGGTTAAAATATGTAACATACTTAACAGTTAAGATATGCACCATTATTAACAGCTATAGCAGCGCTATATGACCCTAGTGGGTTTAGTGCTTCGTTTTGATTATAATAATTAAGAGTTATAATGCGCACTACTTCCTCATTCTCTCTAATCGTCCTTCTTTTTTTTTTTTTATTTCTCATACCCCAATCTCCCTACCTTCTTCCTGTCGTCTTTCTTCCCCATTGCTCCTCTTCAAATGCCCACACCACCACCTCCTCCTCCTCTCACTCCCACCTTAAAAAACAACCACTCTGGCTTGGGTGAAAATATAACCCACTCCATGGGAACGCCCCCGGCCCGACTATCTCCCGACATGATCCACTCCAACAGTTTTCAACTGTTTATCCTTCCCCAGCGATGTTTGACGCTCGTCTTAACACTCCCAGCAGAAACAAACACTGAAAACCGTAAAAAAACAACGCAATTTAAACAAACTATAAAAATCCTGCCACTTAGCTTGACAGTCGAGAGATCAAGTTGGCAGTCGGAGATTGCTCGAGCAGCGTCGCCTCATCCACTCTACAGTTTAATGCTCCTTTACAGTCTTTTGTACGATTTTTTCGTGGGTTTACAGTAAAACATAGGAAAAGATAGGCAATTCTACCAGCACAATAGAAAGACAGGAACAGTAGCAGAATGAGGAGGGGTTCAAAAACAAGGAAGGTGGAGCGAGAGAGATTTGTACAAGAGATGGGGAACTTATTTCATAAAATATTCGTGTGTTCACATAAATCTTGAGGTAAATGACAAGTTCATCTCGTGTGAGCTAGACACAACGTCCATCTTATAACTACTTACAACTAATGCAAATAACACAACATAACTACATTACCGTTGATGAACAAGATGCTTATTATTAAAAAATTTAAAATGTAGACGGGAAAAACTACAGTAGTTATCCTTGAGCTGACAGTGGAACTCCTTAAACTTCAAGAGTTCGTCTTAAGACTTTCTTGAGCTGATAGTGGAAGTCCTCAGGTCTTCCAACTTGTTCCAGACAAATACACACACACACACACACACACACACACACACACACACACACACACACACACACACACACACACACACACACACACACACACACACTCACAAAAGGGCTACTCACATGTCTTTCTGCTGCGTGAAGGAGCACCGTCCCCAGGGAGAGAGAGAGTGTTAGTTTGGTCATGTCAAGCAAATCGCAAACTTACAAAGTAAATATCTGACTTTTTGAAAACATTTAGAAGCACAAAATATTACAAAAAAAAAATAATTTTTTAGGCTAAAGTGAACTTTTCTTTATAATTTTTAAGACGTATAAATATATTTATATACAAAGCAAACAAATAATACTAGTGATTATATATATATATATATATATATATATATATATATATATATATATATATATATATATATATATATATATATATGTATATATATAATATATATATATATATATATATATATATTATGTATGTATGTGTATGTATGTATGTATGTATACTGCCAAATAGGTAAAACTTGCTATTTTGGCTTAAATAGCAACTCTTTTCTTGCCGAATAAGGCAAGCGAAAATTTGTGTATGCAATAATTTCGCAAAAATCATTCTGAACCTAACTAAAAAATATATTTCATTGTCTTTGTTTATTATTAAATTATTATAAACTTATCTAAAATATATTTAATCGGATTAGGCTAAATTAAATTGAGCTTGTTATAATAAGGTTAGGTAAGTTTTCTAAGGTACTACTGGTACAAAATTATTATTTTTTTCATTAACATATATGAAAAAATATATATCTTTAAATGTATAGGGGAAAATTTTAGAAAGGACTTGCTCCTAATATCCGCAGTCAGTGCCAGATCAGCTGGGTTGTGATGGCTGCCGCTAGCACCAACAGCCTCGTTGACCAGGCGGCGGTCAACAAGAAGCCTAACGAGGAGTCAAAGAGTCCACCAACAGTCCCAACAGAAATATGAACTCCTGCACCAGATGCTAAAATTAACAGCAACGTTACTAACAGACTGATTGATCCAGCCAGCAACCAAGAAGCCTGGTCTGGGGGCCAGGAAAAGTTAATAATGTCCACTGTCTGGGAGGCCTACCTGGAGGGCAGGTCAACGCCCCCGCGGCCCGGTCCTTGACCAGGCCTAGCGGTAGATCACGACCTGATCAACCAGGCTGTTACTGCTGGCCGCACATAGTCCAACGTACGAACCACAGCCCGGCTGATTGATTACTGACTTTAGATATCTGTCCAGTTCCCTCTTGAAGGCAGCCAGGGGTCTATTGGTAATTCCCTTTATGCATGGTGGGAGGCTGTTGAACAGCCTTGGGCCCCACACACTGTTTTCTCTTAATGTACTAATGGTGGCCCAGACAGGACCCCAAGAGCAGCATAACTCTGGAAACAGGTCACAGGTGGACCAAGAGACACCGGAGTTGTAAGTTTGACATCGATCCCACGATACATTAAGGAAAAATCGCAGGCGAGGAAAGAAAGTCACACGGAAGGAAAATCGCAATGAAGAAAATCACATAGAAGAAACAAAAGCACAAAAAAATCGCTAAGAAGTAAAACAGGAAAGAAAAAAATCATAAGAAATACAGCAAGAAAAAAAAGTCAGGAAGAAATTTAAGCAGAGATAAAATAGCGAGACAGAAATACTGCAAGAACAAAATTGTTGGCAGGAAGAACAGCAAACAAACAAGATGAAGTAAACCAAGCAGGTGTAAACCACAAGATGAAGTAAACCAAACAGGTGTAAACCACAAGATGAAGTAAACCAAACAGGTGTAAACCACAAGATGAAGTAAACCAAGCAGGTGTAAACCACAAGATGAAGTAAACCAAACAGGTGTAAACCACAAGATGAGGTAAACCAAACAGGTGTAAACTACAAGATGAAGTAAACCAAACAGGTGTAAACCACAAGATGAAGTAAACCAAACAGGTGTAAACCACAAGATGAAGTAAACCAAGCAGGTGTAAACCACAAGATGAAGTAAACCAAGCAGGTGTAAACCACAAGATGAGGTAAACCAAGCAGGTGTAAACCACAAGATGAAGTAAACCAAGCAGGTGTAAACCACAAGATGAGGTAAACCAAGCAGGTGTAAACCACAAGATGAGGTAAACCAAGCATATGTAAACCACAAGATGAGGTAAACCAAGCATATGTAAACCACAAGATGAGGTAAACCAAGCATATGTAAACCACAAGATGAGGTAAACCAAGCATATGTAAACCACAAGATGAGGTAAACCAAGCAGGTGTAAACCACAAGATGAGGTAAACCAAGCAGGTGTAAACCACAAGATGAGATAAACCAGAGACAAACCATAAGATGAGGTAAATCAAGCAGGTGTAAACCACAAGATGAGATAAACCAGAGACAAACCACAAGATGAGGTAAATCAAGCAGGTGTAAACCACAAGATGAGATAAACCAGAGACAAACCATAAGATGAGGTAAATCAAGCAGGTGTAAACCACAAAGTGAGGTAGACCGATCATAAGTAAACTAGTATAGGTGTTACCCTCAGGGAATACCTTATTAAATATAACAAGAGTGTGTGTGTGTGTGTGTGAGAGAGAGAGAGAGAGAGAGAGAGAGAGAGAGAGAGAGAAGAGAGAGAGAGGGGGAAGGAGGGAGGGAGGAGGGGTACTAGCTTCCACGTGCTTTACACACAAATGGCCGACGAACACTAACGACCGGAAGTGGCTAATGCCCACTCTGCCATTGGACGGTTGACGTCACTTCCGACGGACACGCTGCCGAAAGCCGCGGCAGCCATGTTGGGTCTGCTATGTTGGATGTGACCCCATGTCGGGTTCTCCACATGCCTTCATGTGCCAGGGCACAATAGTAACATTTCTTCAACAAATAGTCGAGGGCAGAACTCTCTTCAATGTGTAATTATCATAGTATGTATGTATGTATTATTATTATTATTATTATTATTATTATTATTATTCCTTGAGATGAATAATGGTCTAACTGGTAGTTGTTCTGGCGGTCAACGCCCCCGCGGCCTGGTCCATTACTAGGCCTCCCGGTGGATCAGGGCCTCATCAACCAGGCTGTTACAGCTGGCTGAAAGGATGCCATGCCAAAGATGATCATCCTTAAGTCACTTGTTCTCTTTTGGTTGGAATACTGCTGTACACTAACAGCACCTTTCAAGGCAGGTGAAATTACAAATTTACAGAATATACGTATTAGTTTAGGCAACCACCTAATTTTGGGAACGCTTGAAAGTCCTTTGACCTGTACTCCTTGGAACGCAGGGGAGAAAGATACTAGTATTTACACCTGGAAAGTCCTAGAGGAACTGGTCCGAAGTCTACACGCAAAAATCACTCCCTTCAAAAGCAAGACTCGGCAGACAGTGCAATATAGCCCCAATTAAAAGCTGGGGTGCCATGAATACACTAAGAGGGAACAGAAAAAAGTGTCATGGACCCAAGACTTTTCAACGGCTTCCCATCATGCATATGGGGGATTACCAATAGACTCCTGGTTGTATTCAAGGGGGAACTAGACAGATACCTGAAATCAGTTCCTGACCAAGGGGTCTTTGGTTCATACATTGGACTGAATGCGGCCAGCAGTAACAGCCTGGTTGATTAATCCCTGATCCACTGGGAGGGTTGGTTATGGACCAGGACACGGGGGTGGTGACCCCTGGAAGAAACTCCATTTAGACTCCCGGTACTCATCCACGCTAGTCAAATTAGACTCACCCACTCATATACTTGTCCAGTCTAGTTTAAAATCCTACCCGAGGTTCCCGCTTCAGTGACGCTACCTGCGAGTTTGTTCCACTTATCTACAACTCTACTGCCAAACCAGTGATTTCTTATATCCTTCAAAAACTAAATTTATCCAACTTGAACCCACCGCTGAGAGTCCAGTGAAGTCAACTGAACCCTCCCCCCTCCCACCTCTCTTCCCTCGTCCCACCTTCCATCTCTCTTCCTCGTCCCCCTTCCCATCTCTCTTCACTCGTCTCCCCTCCCACCTCTCTTCCCTCTTCTCCTTGAAGTCTGCAGGTGCTTCTCTTCCAACGGGTCTCTTCAGGAGAGTCCTGAGGACCTCTTGTTACCACTCCTCCCCCTTCCCGTCCGGGGATCAATCTGGCACCAAGACCCTCCCCCAAAAACCTCCGTTCCAGCACCTCACTCCCTCAACTTACAGGGGGGAAGGGAGGAGGACCCTGGAAATGAATTCCTTGGATAGCGTTCCACTCCTATCCTGCACTCGTGTGCCCCTGGTCCTAGCCCTTCAGGAGCCACAGGGCCCAGAGAGGGCCCCAGGGTCCCCCCTCCCTACTGGTACTCCTGAAGAGCGGCGCCGTTGAGAAAGTCTCAAGTCTTAGCACCATCAGCGAGGTGCTTGAGCCGGGTCCTATAATAAGTATTGAGTCGAGGCAAAATACTGGAGGAGGATGTGAGGAGTGGAGGAGGAGCGTGAGAGCTGGTGAAGGAGCGAGTGAAGCGCCCTGGAGTCTCTGCGAGAGCTGGAGGGCGCTCCAGCTCTCCAAAAGGACCAGTCACTGCAAGAGCTCCAGCACGCTTCACTGCCGTGCCGGCGGGGACACGCCAAGAGCTCGTTCAGAAAAAGAGGCCTTTGTCTGGAGTGGTCGTTAATTCAAGAGGTTGTTATGTGGAGAGGCCATGACGCTGTCACCATCCCCATCCCCCATCCCCCAGCCATCCAAGTAACCCACCTGCCTCCAGCTACTCTCGTGTACTCAATCCCACTATCCCCTTCACCCTCCCACCCCCCATCATCCCTTCAACTCCCCCTCCCCTCTTTCCTCTCACAGCTCCCCTCCTCCTTTATCCACACTCCCCTTTACTCTCCATCTCTTACACAACTTTCCCCCATCCCGTTCATACCCTCAGCCGATTTTCCACTCCATTCTCCCTCACAATGCTTCCCCCTTCTCTCCCACAACTTCCCCTCCTCGATCCCAGAACTTTCCCTCCCACAATCCCCTCATTAACCCCCACCTCCCCTCCCTGCTCCAGTTATAGCAACAAGCAGCAGCGCTCATTAGGGCTTCACTTATTTGCATGGACGACGGAGGAAGAGGAAAAAAAATTATTATCCAGCACCACCAAC